TTCAAGCACCTTATCTTCAAAAGTCGTTATATGTAAGATAGTTATAATACTCAAAAATTTTCGACAAAAGTTGCTGAGAGTTAGTATTTCGTTATTCTAAATTGGCATGAAAAATTTGAATTGGCTGGGTCAATTTTTTGAATCCGCTCTCATATAGCTGTCCCAACGAAAACTGAATCTTTATATGGTAAAAAAGATCAAATTTTCCGCATTTCATGGTTTGTAATAGTAAATTGGAATATAAATAACTACAGCATACCGAACTTACAGTTATATTTTTTAGATACCGTCCTTTATGAGAATTCTCAGGGACAGCCTTAACGGTCTAATTATCAATGTTTTTAATAAAAAATTTTTCATGATAGTAATTTTATATAAGAATTAAGTGGCGCAAATTTGAAACACATGGGTCTATTTTTTGAAGAGCACCCCATAAAAAATTTTTCATAAAGAGTAAGAAAAAAATTGAATTTTTAATATTTTGGATGAAAATTAGTCCATAACAGCAATTTAGAAAAAAAATTAACGGTAGCTGATTTGGATCAGATGAGTCTATTTTTTAGGCTTTAACATATATAGAATTTATCATGGAAAGCAAGCTCTTATATGGAGAAAAATTGTAATATTTGGTTGCAAAATTTGGATCGCGTCATGGGATGCGTTCGAAATCTTCCAGCATGTGGGTTTTCATGAAAACTATGCCTTTGCATGAAAACAATGTGTAATTTTTAGTGTATTATTATCTAAACGAGTGAATAGTTGTACTACGTGAAGTGCTGTAGGATATCTAATGGTCGGCCTTGCTCGACTTTAACATTATTACTTATTTCAAATACAAATTTAGGATAGGACTTACGATAGGGATTTAAAGAAATGTGAAAAAGCATAACAAGTTGCTTTTGAACGGAACAACTCTTTTCAACTCTCTACCATCTCCAGAAGCAAAAATGTTCCAATTACGTGCAATCTATTATAAGAAAAAACAATAAAAAAATTTATTTTGACTTAATTTCAGCATTCACGTCGAATGTCACATAATTCGCACGTATTATTATTGTCCATATATTGTCTACTTCGTTAACTAGAGAGATTGCTTTTCTCGTCTAATACAGAAAAGAAAAAAATTGCATTTCTTTGTCTTCTTTTTATACCCACCACTGTAAGATGGGCGTACACTCATTTTGTTTTTTTCCAAAATATATGTAACGTCCAAAAAGAAGCTTCAGAGACTCTATAAAGTATGTCTATTGTTGATCAGCGTGAAATCCTGAGTTAATTTAGCTAAGTTCGTCCGTCTGTACGTCTGTGAGGAGTGTACTGCTGGCATTCTCCTCATCGCAAAAATGAAGATATCAACTTCAAATTTGATAAAAACATGGAAGCATGGAAGTTTCCCCATGCAGGTTGGTATTAAAAATGGCCAAACGGTTTAGAGCAGAAACGCGCAGTGGAGCGTAAACTGAATTTAACCCGGTTTTTTTTAACGAAAATTTTTGCTCGTTAGTCGGAAATTATAAAAGTTAGAAGGCTGAAATTTTGAGCGTTTACTTTACGAAGCACTCTACTCTTTACGTACAAAAACGGAAAACAACCGCCATGCCCCCACAAGCGTACAAGCGTACAAGTGATTAAATTCTGTTTTTTTTCACTTTCTTTGAGATTTTCTGCTTACTTATCATAAGGCAAAGAGGACCGAACGTTTACAACCGTTTTGTACACTCCTTAAATGAAGATATATTATCTGCCTAAAAATGGATTAATTTTAAAATGAATATGACAGACATAGTGATTACTTTTTTTTTAATAATACTAGCGCTATGGATATCAAGTCAAATCAAATCGAATGGAAGAACTTGGAGAGTAGAATGCGAAAAACATAGTGGTGGGTATGCGAGATTCGGCACTTGCCGAATAAAGCTACTTTTTTTCTTGTTTTGTTTTAATGGATAAAAGGATAATTTCCGGTTTTATTTTTACTTTCCGATTTTCATCCTTTTGCCAAGTCTTCTTTTATCGCTTTTAATATCTTTTCGCATTTTCGATTATTAACAGCGCCATAAAAACGTCAACATGTAGCACTGGCAAACTTTAGAACTTTCTTATTTGTTTGGTATACGTATCTCCTATCCTTCTATTGCATTCGCTACGTACTTTCATTTACCTTTCCACCTTTCTTACCTTTTCGGTAGATTTTAGAAGAAAGCACAAAAAATTTATTGCACATCTTTTCTGTAGATTACTTACATCGGTTTCTTAGCCGCTTCGTTGGTTGGGTGGCTGGTTGGCTGTAAAAGCCATTAAAATGTGTAAAAGTAATATAATTTATGCATTTCTTACTGTTGTGCGTTCTTCGTTTCTCGGGAAATAGTTAGCCACGCCGAATTTCTCAAATGTTTAAATCTCTTTTGATCGCTTTTATTTTGTATAGCTACACCGTAGCAGAGCTCCACTCTAAGCACAAGTGAACCAGCTTTTCGTATTGTATGTCGTCTAACAACAATAATTACGGTTGCGGTTAAGGAAAAATGCACGCGCAAGAGTAAAAGATGTGTCTGACTTCGTTTGGTTAATTTTAAACCGTTCAACCTTTAATAATTTTACAGGAAAAAATGTTAACGAAATTCGCTCAAATGGCATAAATAATGCAGTTTAATGAACATTGCATTCTCTCTCTCTCTCTCTTTCTCTTTTCCTTTCTCTCGTTCTATCTACCTATCTATCTACCTCATTTGAGTTCCCCCTTTCTTTGGCTGTCTGTCACTAACCTTTTTCCATTTAAACGTGCCACCAAGCCTTAGAATGTCGATTCTATTAACCAATTTACAAATACTCGAATATTAGCTACTGAGTCACTGAATATATCCTTAACAAAACTAGAATACAAAGTCAACTCATTAATCAACCAGTAAGGTGGCCGGCAAATAATTTGTAAAATATTTTCAATGTTTGTTAAAACTTTCTAAGAATGTCTTTTAAGCAGCATTGTCAGCACAAGAAACAATTTATTTTATCTCTGCACTCGAATGCATTGAAATTAAAAGCAAAAAAAATTCTTTTTTCTTTTCTGCACCATGCACTTGCATGTACGCATTAGCTTTCAAATGCATAACACATACTAATATTAAGAGGGATAAGTTTACTTCCTTTTCCTGTTCGATTCACTGCTAGTTTCAATTTAACGTAATGAAATTTTATTGCTCTTAAATTTGAAACTATTACAATTGCTTTAGTTGCCAGCATAACCATCAGCATCAGTGTGACCAACACGAGCACCAGCACTCCAGTAGCACAAGCAAAGAAATTTATTGCTTAAAATTTTTGTTTATTTTATGCTTTTCGTTTAAAAAATAAGAAAACAAAAATTCATTTTTTTTTCTTTGAATTATTGTATGCACACATATATACAATAGTTTTCCATAGCATCTTAAAATTGGCAACAACAGCAATAACAACCATAACGATAACGTAGTCGTTAGAAGGGGGAAATATTTTTACTTTTTCAAAATCTTAACCACTTTACGATTGGTTGGTAAAGCAAAGCAGAAAAGAAATGACGGCACAGCTGCTACATTTTATGCAATGAATGCAATAATATCGTACGAATTGCTTCTTTTTTCCTTTCTTTTACTATTTTCCTTTCTTCTTTTTTTTTTCTAATTCTAACAAATTGCATATCAGATCTAAGTTAACGGTGAGTCCTGGACAAGTACGTGTTTGAAAATTTTCCACTTTGTTCAATTGACTGAGTTTATGAAGTGCAATTACAACAACAAACAAATATATAAATCTAAGTAACATATCGCGAAGAAAAACCAGAATCATGATCATCGCCTAAATAACGATTATAACGAATAGTAAACCGATCGCTGGATCATTTATATATATTAAAGGGGACGGCACACAGTACACAGATAACAAACACAAGGAAGAAAATTAGAGTCGTGAAGAAAACTTTTGTAGCCGTCGCTTTTATTATAAAAAAAAAAAACGATAAAAACTAAATTTCCATGCCCTATAGCAATGGGTGAATGTGGGAGATTTTTTCCGTTTTTTTGAAGCACATGTGGAAATTGTTACTATATCTCTGAGTAATGACAAAAAAAGAGGAAAAAAAGGGTAACGCTATTCTTAGCTCTTCCCTCTCCCGAAAGAGGACCAAAATCCCATAATCTTCTCTCTCTAAGTTAAGTGAGATTGCCCCTTGCCAGACCAGACGTTGAAATGAGAGATCAACTTTGAATCAGAGTTGAATAAATCGGCAACACCGAGTACGACAGAGACCGCGATAATGACGGAGAAAGTAGAATTCTACTTGCTTCTTCTACGTCTAGCAGTCGAAATGCTAAGATCACCCCGTAAATAATTAAAAAAGTTGTCCTACGAACACTTCTTTGATGCAGAAGTTTTAAAATATATTTTTAGAAATGATGGCCGCAGCCGATAAGTTCTTTACCGATTAACCATTCACCATAGCTTTACCGCGCTGCGTTTTAGACTCTGAATTGAATTTACGCTGCAGCTTGAAATTGTGTAAAAAGTAAAAAATTTTGAAAATACTTAATACTACTATATGCAGATAAAAAAATAAATTAATTTTTTAATATTTCCTTGCTTCACCCTGTTTGCTAGAGGTTAAAATCGTGGAATCCTAAAAATTATCTGAATTCTCTATACTTCTTGGTCGACGTGATCAAATTTTTTAAGTGTTACACATTTCCTCGCCTCGCGTTGCTTTTTTAATATTAAAATTATAATATGTGCAAAACTTGGCAAAATTCCGGTACTTTTTGTCCAAGGCTCGCATAAACGTAAGAACATTTTTTTTGAATTTTTTTGAATAATTCATTGCTTTACCTTATTTGCTGTTGTTTGTAATCGTAAAAAAGAGCAAAATTGAAGCTTTGAAACTTATATAATATATTTTTAAATTATAAAATAAAAAAAAAAAGAACAAATATATTTTTCGTATTTTATCTTCGTACAACGAAAAGGGGCAATCTATGGCGGATTTTTATGATATCAAAAATGCCAGTGTAGAAGATTTCGACGAAATTGTTCTTTTCTTTTTTTCGCCAAGCATTAAGTTTTTCGGGGAACCTCTTGGGAAACAACTCTCGCCCCAAACGTATTTCAGTCGCTACGTAAGCCATCGTTTACTGATACGCAAGATAGACGCTACCAATGCTATTGTTGGTTATGCCGAGTTGAATAATTCGCCTTACATGCCCGCTTTACTTGAAGATTGCTGGATGGACTGGTTGACCTTCCACTATTGGTAAACGTGATATAAGAATCAAAGAAAATAATTTTCGTCTTATTTGCATTTTTTTTCTATTTCAGTACACGCTTACCCTTAAGTGTGACAAACACTTATTTTTTCAATACATTCGTTTACAACGACAGTCATAATCCGCAAATGTTGAAACAGATTGTTGAGGAATTCTTTTTCCGCGAGAATAAAATACGTTTCATAATTACGGCGGAAGCTCCAGACTGCCCTAGTGCATATAGTGCTTACAGCCATGGTATGAACAATCTTGTCTATTTTTCCACGATACACACACACTGTGTGACATATACATTGTTACATGTATAAATATAAATACATATATATATATATATATATATATATACTTCTAAAGGTCGTCCAAGTTTCCAGTGCCTGGAAGCTGTTAGTCATATCTTTTATCCGGTATGTTTCAGTGCTATTACCTGTCCCAACACTGAATGCATCCATGTCATATATCGCGACGAAATGATATCGACAATGCGTTACCGTTTGGCGTTGTAAGTGCTGCTAATGTTAAATGAAAACTGGACGCATTCTTGCATTCGATTTTTCTTTTCAAAGACCCGAAGATAATGATGATATCGTTGAGATTGTTCATGCTGATCGACCAGAACTGAAAGAGAGTTTAGGTGATTTCTATATAGCTGAAGAATTGCTCGCAACAAGCAGCAAAAGTTTACTGATAATAACCGAGGAAAGTATTTCCAAAAATTTTATTTCATTGCTTGACTTTCTTCCCATCATTATTACTTTGATTGTTGTTTTTCGTTACTGTCACATTACAGATTCATAATATTACAAGCGGTTTTGTATGGTTGAATGAAGATCTTCATTTCTATACATTGTTGGAAAATTTTCAATTGGATATGTTCGGCAATCTGATGAAATTCGATCCGAAATTGAGATTCCGTGAGAAAGGGATAAGAATTAAGTAAAAAACCGTCAATGACAATATGTTGCAAAAATTTGAAGCTTGTTGCGTTATTTGTTTCAGTGTTGCCACAACAACTGCCGCACATTTACTTTTCACCTCCGAAGCGATTCAAAATCTTTACGACTCGAAATCTTTAGACTCGTAAGTAAAAAATGCTGTCGTTTATTATAGCAAGAGAAATAAATTATTCGTTTTTTTTTTCTTTTTTTGTACTTTGTTCCCTCATAGATTATCACTTTCGCTAGGTAGCGAAGGTAGTACACTCTATTTCAGTGATCAAGCTGAGTTCTTGGCCAAATGTCAATTGTTAGATCAAAGTGAGTCGAAAGACTTTCCTCTTTGTTTTCGCATTTACATGTTCTCATCTTCAGATTTGGAAGATCCCGATCACTACGTTAAAGTACAACCAGTAAACCATGCATTTCGTTATAATATGCCTGACGATGTTGAAAATTTTCCCTACGATGGTTACCCTAATGCCTTTTCCATACAACTGTTCGGCTTGACGGAAAAGCATGATCCTCGTCGTATGTATAGTTTTCTTAGTACAGCATTTGTAGCATTTCCCGATCGTGACTATTGTTTACTCTCCGTATCGGTAACGATAAGTATGACTCCCGTCTTGTTTGAAGTGTTGAAATACTTTTTAGTAAGCGAACAAATGTCATTCCTTTTATACATATACATATGTCTATAATATTAATAAGTTTTCTCTTGCAATTAAAAGAGAGCTACCCCACGTCCTGGTTGCAAAATTGATGAACATCTTTACATAACCCATCGTTCAGCGATTTATGGAGATTTAAGTATTGTTCGTCTACGACCGAAAGATAAGCAAGATATTTTAAATCTGTTCGCCGAACCTGAAACAGTAGAACTAGTAACAAGACGAACGACAACGAGAAGTACATTTATTGCTTCACGTGTATCTATGATATCCAATGTTCAAGACATGTCTAAAATGACTATGTCCGAAGATGTCAGAAATCAAGCTGCATTCGATAGAAAAAGTGTGAATGCATATCTTGATCATATATTAGAAAATTCTTGTTCTTCGTATCAGTGCTTTACCATAAGATGCGGTAATTCAACTAAGCCACCAGACGAAAATAGTCTCATTGGATTTGTTATTATTAAGTAAGCAATAAGCATAATAATTTTGATTTTTATGCCCACCACCGAAAGAATTCTTGTTACCTCGCCATTTCTAACTGCGTAACCATAAGACTCTCAAGTAATTTAACATTGTCCGTTCATCTGTTTATTGTGTGCCGTTCGGCAAATAGTCGTGACATAAACAGCAGTAAATTTGGTAAATATATGGTTCTGTAATGGTAAAGCAAGAAAAGTTGGTATCCCTTGCGTCCTTTTAGCATGCTCCCAATGCTTAATCATACAGTTGCGAATTTTAGATATCACGTTGCAGATGATCATTCAAAAAAATATGATACAAACAAGGCACAAGAAGTGCCCGCTAACTGATATGATAACTAGCCTACCCTATTCGGCTAAATTAACCGAAAACATTTGACCATTTTCGCATATATAAAATATCAATTAATAAGTTTGTAGGATGATACATACATCGATACGTGAATTTAGTGATGTTACTTTTGTTTGGGTAAAACAATGGGAAAAAGTCGAATATCCTAACTAGCTAAGAACCGGAATACCATGAAATTTTGTAAAACTTGAAGCTTTGGAGAATTGACCGAAAACATTCCAGCATTTTCGAATATATAAAACATCACCCAATGACATATAGATGTCATCACCATATGTTGTTTGACTGATGTTAGTCTTGTTTTAGTAAAACAATGAATTTGGTACCTAGCTCCACTGAAACAAGTTACGAACAAGTTACGGTCGGAGTGTAACGCCGAAAATTTCGTTTAAAAATTTGCACTAATTAAAAATCATATGGATTCGTCAATGATCGTCGTACATACTTGTACGTGGCATCCTGCAAGCTTATTGAGCGCTGTCTGATAGATATCATCTTAAGAGTGGTGGGGGTGCGCATGATTCATCGCATTCGATTGTTATACATTTCCTTTTTTTCTTTTACCTCTTCCCCTTCACATAGGCCTTTTCTTTACAATATTTCGTTACATAAGCATTATATATTACCGAAAACTGACGAAAATGTTAATTTATTCAATGCCGAACTGCTTGCTCTAAAATTGCATCCATTCTTTCACAATCAAGCTGATGTAATATTCCGCGAATTGGCCCGTCAGACATACTATCGTCAATTTTATTATTTTAAACCTTCGGTGAATATTACCTTAAAAGTGTTAAATTCTTATTTTGTATAATTATTTACATTTCTCTTACACAGCGTAGCATGGCTGTATGTAATGATTTAATAACCAATATGCAACCAGTGGAGCCGCGTCGTATCAAGAAAGTTTGGTTTTGTAATTTCATGCCGCCTCTTGCGAACAAACATAAATTTATGTCAATGTTCAGTGTCGAGGACGAAGATTTGGATACGCCCACAATCGATTATCTTAATGATAGCTACTCTTTGTTCTCAAACAATTTACGTCCTTCAATATTTTTCGGTAATGCCACTAATATCGTCGTCATTGGTTTCGGTGATATGTGCAAAGCTCTTTTACGTTGTTTGATATTTGGCTTGACACCGGCAGGGTAACGTCGTTCGCATTTGGCAATTGTCTACAATCTTTCAATCTTCTCTGCTCTACTCTCTCTCTCTTTCTCTACTTTCAGCAAACACATGTGCACTAATAATTATTTACCTTCTTTAAATATTACCGTAATTGCAAATGCAGGAGTCGTAGAAGCCGAATACGATTTTAAATTTCAATGTGAATTTTGTGAGAATCAGGACAATTGTTATATTAATTTTAATAGTGCAGACGCTTTTGTAAGGGATGTTTCCGATCGTTTGGATACGCGACTTTGGGTCCGTTTCTTTGGTGGCACCGTAAGCGATATAAACTTGTACGTATTAATATTGTCTTTCTCTTCGTTCTGCTTGAAAGGTTTTAATTTTCCTTAATTGCCCTTATGTACACATACATACATCTTAAGAATAAAAAGAACGGTAGTGTTGGAGAAAGGCTGCGATGTTTACTATGAAACGTTATTGCTGATGTGCGACACAGACTTTGAGATGCCGGAAGTTCTAGCAAACTATGAAACGAGAAAGCCAGCAAATTATATACAAATAAATAGTCGCTTCGATAAAATTATGGCCTATCATAAGCTGCGTGCCCTTCAGGCAACGCCATCGGATGTTAAGCGAAAGATCGTTGTTTATGGTGCTCATATCCGAACATTTGAGTTTATAAACTTCTTGGTTACACACGGAGTCGCCGGTAAAGATGTGATCTTAATATCGCCATATTCGAAAGAAGGTGCTCAACGCCGTCTAGTACTGAATAATTGCACTGTCGATGTAAATATTGAACATGTACTCAAAGAAATGGTTGAAGATTTGGGCGTACAAATTAACGATCAAATGAGTTTAGAAGAATTCGAATTATACAGCGACAATAGGACCTTGAAATGTGTAAAATTTAAAGGTCTTCATAGCGATAAAACAATGGAGATCGAATGCGATTTGTTCGTTTGCTTCGAAGATAAGTTTTTATCGAAAGAAACGATTGAAAGTAAGTTTCTGATGATTTCCTCTTTTCTTTTCTGCACCGTAATCAAAAGCATTCTCTCTCTCTCTCTCTCTCTCTCTCTCGCTATCTCTTTCTCTATTCCGTCTCTTCCTCTTTGCCCCCTCTCTCATCATTCCCTTCCCACATCCTCTTTCTATTTCCCTAAATTAATCGTAATACGTACGCAGTGCTGGAAATGACTGGTTTGGCTATGGACTCAGGACGAGTATTAGTTAACAATCAATTTCAGACATCGGATCCATTCGTTTATGCTCTCGGTAAATTTGTAAAACATACGGAGCCACCTAATCATCAGTATCTCTTTGTAAATCCGAAGGAAGCAGTTACGAAGGTTTGTTCTGTTCTTTTTTGTTTTGCAATATACTCACCACGAGCGTTGAAATGTTGTACGTACTGTGTCGCTCTCTTTGTAATATTCAAAAACTAACCGGAGTTTATATCGTAAGATATAAGTTGAGAAATAAAAGAAAATCAAAAAAATTGTTTTGATCGGGTGAAGTGCGCTAATTAAAAACATTTTCGCAAACTTTTATACTTTGGGTTATCGTGGTGAATATCGAAAATTTCCCTTCAGGCAGACATGACTTTCATATCAGTAAAATGTTTCTTCTTCTGTTTATCTAAAGCTAATGGTTTATCTTGGTTGGAATAGTGAACCGAAAGAAGTCGAAGAGAAATTCTCGATGCCCGCTTACTTTCAAGCTCAATTACCAATGGGTTATTATATGGTCAAACTTGTATCGCCCAAACGATATTTGGCACGTCACTTAAGCAACGAATACGGTTTTCGCATGACTACCTATGAAAACAGAGAATTTGCCAGAGTACGTCTTACAAATCTAGGCTATGTTGAGGAAATTGTTGTTGTTACCGAGAAGGTACTGTATAAATATATATATGAAAATCCAACAATGCTCACATGTATGCTCATCTTGTGTTTTTCAGTTTCAAGATTTCGATTTTTTAAAATACTTTTGCGGTCGACATGAACTTCTCTTAAACAATCTAAAAGCTCGTTGGTATTTAAAAGAAATTACAAATTTTGTTGATTTCTTTCAAGAGCCCTGGGTTGAGCTTATAATGAATGATCATTTCAAAAAATTGCAAGAATATAATAAACAGCTTATAAAGCCAGCCGTAGAAGAAGTCATGAGCTTGGTTTGTTTAAAAGAAAGAAAAAAAAAAGCTTTTCCCGCTCGAATAACACTTTCACATTTCTTGTTCTTCTTCTTTCTCTTTCAGAATTTGAGCCGCGAACAACGTTTTAAAGTTATGCAAAATTATGCCAACGATTTTGGCATTACAGCTCGTTTGGAAGAGGCCGTTCTACTCTTCTTACAAGAACATCGCGAAGAGTTTCATACTGAATTTGCTTTACCCCAAGATTTCCCGAATATAAGCGAAGACACAGAACCAATCTAAGAAATTTTCCACATTTCGATGTCATTTTGTCAATTCTTTCAATTTATAAATGAATATAATTTTTTCTTTTTAACATTAAAAAGCAATTTTTTCTTATTCCTTAAAGATAACTTAATTATTTAATTTGTTTGCCTTGCGCTACTTATGATATAAGAGTGCATTACGATTGTGCGGATGTATGCGAAACCAAAAAGGATTTCAGATAAGACCACATGTCATCCAGAATCAGTTTCTGAACCGATCTAAAATAAGTTTGGTACACCGACTAGTTTTGTCTCAAGGACGAAAGCTATTAAAAACGTTAACTGCTGAAATGGTGATCAAGCATCGACCCAATATGAGCATAGTTTTCTCGCTTCCTTCATTACACACTGCTTTTCAAGCAAAACGGTCGCCTTATGTACACCTAACAAATCAAAAGGAGAAATCACGCTTCTTAAATAGTACGCCACCTACGCTACAAGGGTATATTGACTTTGTGCGGATATTAGGTACACTTACAGAAATCGAGATGCATCCACTTTTTATTATGCCGACCAATTTAGAGTCACTTTCCGATTTCATTTAACCGTGTTTGTCCGTCTGGCCGTCTAGTTTTCTTCTGCTCAACCTTCTTAAATGAACTTCTTTGGCCGAAGGACGAACGCTATTGAAGTTGGATTGGATCGGACCATTTTGTAGCATTATTGATTCATTGTACTCTGCTTATTACACACTTATTAATCAATTATGATAAGTTTACATTTTCTTTTATTTCTACACAATGTAAATCTAACTATACCCTCGTTAAGATAACCTATCAAAGTTATTATGTAAGTTATCTAACATGTACACATATGCTTTAATCCGAAGTCAATTATTTATCATATGAAATAATGCGGAAGAGAAAATTCTACTCAATTATATGTGAATAATCAATCACATCAATGGGAGATACGCAAACTAAATTTGATAAACCTAACGCCAACGTTATTAACAACGTAGAGGTAACTGACCACACGCCTCAACTGGAATTAATCCAATATTTAGTGATCATCTCAATAATTGTAAGCGCAACTCACTTTTTAATAACTCTACACCTGTTACATAAAAACCACCTAAAAAGGAAATGCACAAAGCAGGCCAACGAAACACTAAACGTCTAATGCAATCTTTCTAAATAAACTTTCACTAGCGACATGACCCCTCCCCCACAAGAAACCGATATTCCAGAACTCGGCAACGGACAATCATCCTTCACGCCGATGCATTATGAACAAGCCCACCCTCTCCCCACAGGAGACGGTATTGACACAGTAGATTACCGAGAAGAAATCTCAGAAAGAAGGTACAGACAACAATGCAAGCAGACGCAGCATCCGCAAGTTATTAAATCAAACTAAACATTATGGATGGACTGGCCAGTGATAGTACAGTAATGCAGAAGCATTAAGGAAAGCTTCGATAAATCTTATGAACGTCTTAACATCGACAGGCCCACAAGCACAGACGCAATAAGCAGGCACGTAAAAGTCCTTGTAGAATGTCTTGAAGAAATGCGAATAACATTGAACGAGCGACTCGCTCCAACGCACAAAAGCACCGCGGACCAATACTTCCAGGAATTACGAGGAAGGATATTAGCCGTCACAAATAGAAGAGGGATAGAAATACACTTAAGTTATTTCCTCCGCGAAACTAAAGAACCACATTACTTCACAACAACAAGAACTTCCACTAGCAACATGCCACAAACATTACTGGAATTCCTCAAGACAGCCTCAAGTCTTATGCCTGAGTTCGATGGCAAAATTGAAAACTTACAAAGCTTCATAGATGCATTAGAAACAGCGTCGGTCATACTACTAAAAACCAAATTAAAAGGCGCCGCAAGAAATCTAATAAGTCAGGAAAACACATTGACGCAAAAAAAGGACACATTAAAAAATAAAATAAAATGGGAATCACTAGAGGTTCTAACGGCCAAAATCATTAAACCACAGCAACGAAATAAAACAGCGAACCAATACACAAAAGAGATAGAGGACCTAACTAAATCTCTGGAAGGACCATGCATACGCTGGCTACCAAATGTAGCACCCAGCAAGCGATTAAAGCAATGACACGAAACTGCTCCATAGATTAAGTCAAACTTATCATGAAAGCAGGAACGAGGTAATAACAAAGTTCGTAAGTAGTTGCACGGACGCAACCAGCAACAGTAACACAGATTTTTATTATAAAAACAAAGCAAACGTTCCTACCAAGTACCGAGGATCTAATAGAGCACGTTATAGTTATAGTAATAAGTATACATATATATATATTTCTCTATAACGCCCCATTTCGAAAATTCGTTATATGAATAACTCGCCAGGTGATGTAAGATATTTAACAATGGCCCATGGCAAGACCATCCTTTTGTTTGTTTTCCCCCAAATTTATCTTTAACTAAATCTTGCAACCTTAATCTTACGTTACTGTTCATACCATCACCATGCTCTAATACTTAGCACATAGCCTCACCATAAAGGTGTTAGTTATTAATAATAACGAAAAAAAAAAGGAAGAAAATTATATTCAGTCGTGACCGAATCTTTTACACCCATCTATTTTTCTATTATTTCTATTCATTTCTATTTTCAAAATAAAAGTTTACAAATTTATATCACTATGCTATGCTTTACAAGTAATAACCATGGGCGTTGTAGGTGGACTCCTTGAAAACTTTGAGCCATTTTCACTTTCTTTTACGAGAACGAAAGAAGCTTGCGTCTACGGACATGTGAACGGACATGCTTAACTTCGTTCCGAGTTTGAAACTGGCGAAGAATTCATATACTTTATGAGATCTTTGAAAATAAAATTAGTAAAAATAGGCGCGGTCAACATATCACATTGTAGTACATATACTATAGCAACACTCGTAGAAGATACGTTCAATTTTTTGTAGATTTATCTTATGTAATTTATGAGTAATGAGCAAAAAGTAAATTTTTTATTCTTTTTCATAAGCAGAGCTGTTCTCATTTTATGTAGTACTGTGTCTGTCGACCGCTTTGGCCCACTTTCAGTACCAACCTGACAAATTTGAAGACGATACCTTCATTTTTCCGGCCAGAAGAATGTTTACAATCAACGTTACATATATGGACGGACAGCCAGACGAAGAGAGGTATTATCGGACAGACGGACGTGCATAAATCGATTCAGAATTTGATACTAGTCATGAATATATACACCTTGTGTAGGGTCTCTGAACTTCCTTCTGGGCATTGAATACACCTTCCATCCTTCGTCGTTTTGTACCGATTACCGTTACGCTAGGAAAGGCCAAAATATCAAGCGGACATGGCCGACATTTTCTCTTTTTTAGCATAAAAATATGTATCTGTTATAGTTCATGATTAACGGGCAAAAATACGGAAAGCAAAGGTGTTCTGAATTTTTGTTGGTTTACATGTGCGATTGTTGTAGGCGTGTGCGTCAACCAGTTTAAACCATTTTCAAACTGTTTTACAAATTCCTAGCCGATATCTCCACTTTCTCTGACGTGAAAATGCTAGACAGTTTCGCAGATGGACGAATGAGCTGAACTGCATTTCCAGTTTGCAGTTTGGCTAATATTTTACATACTTTAAGAAGTTTATAAAACTTGCTTCTATGCGTTATAAGCGTTGCGCGGGAAAAGTGAAATTATGACACACTACAAAGTTAAATGGGCGTGCCGATTCTTTTTTATTTTTATACAGATATTATAGCATCGCCCATACGTTCAATTTTTTGCTGATTTGTCTGCTATAGTTTTAGAGTAATGATATAATACTAAATCCATAGGTTTGCCCCAAGATAGCATTCGTACATTTTTGTACGTACAGTTTAACAACTCTGTTTTACACGTTAGTATAGTGCTACCATAATTTCATTTGTTTTAATTGATTGAAGCGTGCCTTTTGGTTTGAAATACGTATCTTCCTTTTACTCATATCATTTTTCCGATTTTTGTTTGTCTGACTGGCAAGTTCATAAAATTATTAACATATGCAATAGTGAGAAAAATCAGAAGATTAGTTTATTGTTCGTTGTTTTCATACGTTCAGTTATTATCTTGTATAGTTTTCGAAAAGGTGACATTTACGATCTGCTTCATTTTTTTGAAAAACATCCGGTGTAATAAACTCACCACTCGTCTTGCTCATGGCTTTGCAACTCTGTGCCTGTATGTATGATGTATGCATATGTATCAAAAAAGCCATGAACTTTCTGTGGATATTTGTTAGACGTACTTTTTTATATAAAGTTTGTTTATCCTTTCTTTACCTTTTTTAAAATTTTCTTTTGCCTTTAGCTTATAAGCTGAAGCTTTAAAGTTGTTTTAACGAAGCTTTTATTGTCTCTTCACAAAATTGATGCGCGAAGCGTCGTGATGTATACTTTTCCAACATTTGACAGAAGAAGATTTTGTTAATTTTTATAAATTTATTGCTTATGATATCATTTACGAAACGTATATGATCATCGTATGCCTAACGGAAGCTTATCTATGTTTGATGTGCAGTAGTAATGTCATCATTAATCGAACATATAATAGCCACCTGCAATTGGTCTATTCTTCAAGATATTATTCATTGTCCAACTGATACGGAGCTATCGGCTTGAAATTTATTAAAGATATTTCAATGCACTACAAGCAGATTAGTGTTGAAAATAGACCGAATCAGTAAAAACATTCGTCTACAGTGTAACATAAACTAAGAATAATTTTGCATTCTGAGTTAAGCGTTGACTTGGCAAGCAGATATTAAAGTATTCCAAAGCTACGAGGAGACTTGTTGTGAAAGTGGATTCAGAACAGAAACACTAGTGAGTTACTATTAGCTGCCTAGCACAAATTAATATACCAGCTATTGTTAATGTTACTAAAATGTCTCAATTTTATTTTGTTTGTTTGTTTTTTTTTTTATATTATTCAATGATCGTTTGAAGAGCGTGTCTAAATCGGGTGTGTAAGCGCCGTCGTC